AAAGCAATCGCTAGACAAACCAATTTTGTTAAATGTGTTACTGTTTTCACTAAATAAATAAATAAATAAAACTAGCCAAAAAGAAATGATTTCTGACACTTTTTTTTGCAAATGTAGGATTGCCAACATTAAGTTGACTGACATTTCTTTGGGATATGGTATTTGGAGGCATTATACATCACAATGTGAATTTATAGATATTCAGGCCCGTAGCCAGCCTGGTGAAAGGCGCAGTTCTTTTCTCTCAAAAAGTTTCTTTGCAGTTATTCGCCTCATTTTCTGTTTAATTTTGAGCTTTAAATTCTGCATTTTAAGCACTTTTTGTTGGATTAGCTTGTCACATGATTACACTTTTTTATGTATCAAAAACATTTCCTAAAAAATAAAGAAATAATAGAATAATATATACACAAAAATACAATACTTAATTTAAAAAACCTTATTTATCACTTCATATATCATTAGAAAAAATAGGAATCTGTTATTAAATTTAAAAAAGATTGTTTTATGAGGCAAATAACAAACTGGACAGCACATTCAACTTTCCTCAGTCAGAATTTGGGACATCGAATTTTGCACAAAAATTGCCAAATTCAGTGTACCTTATTCTGTACTGATAGCCAACACAGGATTCTGCTTGGTCTTAAAGCCTTTTTCGATGTGTTATTTTCACAATTCATTAAGGCACAGCAGTCAAAATAGGACAAATGAGCACATGTATGGGACAAATTTTGGACCTTTGTTTTCCTAACCACCCGAACCCCCCCCTGACTACAGGCCTGATATTGTGGCATCTGCATACATGCTTAGACATATTGGAATGTAATTTATTTATTAATTTTTCTTCAGCTTAGTCCCTGATTTATCCACAGCGGAATGAACCACGAACCATTCCGGCATATTTTATATGCCCTTCCAGCCACAACCCATTACTGGGAATCACCCATACGCCCTTGCATTTACACATGCACTTATACACTACAGCCATTTTACTTCATTCAGTTCACTTATACTGCATGTATTTGGGCTGTGGGGGAAAACCGGAGCGCATTGACTGTAGTGTATGAGTGTGTATGGATGTTTCCCAGTGATGGGTTGCGGCTGGAAAGGCATCCGCTTATTGAAAAATATATTGTCACCTTAAAATAATAAGGTTCTATCTGACATTTTTGTCCAAATTGAGTTATTAAAATATTTTTGTTGAAAAAAAACAAATGTTACACACATACTGTTCGCTATGAAATGCAAAAACTTTGAAGCTCAATATCTCAAAATCATTCAGAATGCAGATACAACCTTATAATTCCAAGGTGACGATATGCTGGATGAGTTGGTGGTTCATTCCGCTGTGGTGACTCCAGATTTTTAAAGGGACTAAACCGAAAAGAAAATGAACCAATGATATTGCCACAGCCATATCACCCTGCAGCCCAAGACCGGTTACTCACTGAAGTTAAGCAGGGCTGAGCCTGGTTGGTACCTGGATGGGAGACCACTAGGGAACACTAGGTTGCTGTTGGAAGTATGGTTAGTGAGGTCAGCAGGGGTTGTGGTCTGTGTGAGTCCTAATGCCCCAGTAAAAGTGAAGGGGACACTACACTGTCAGTGGGCGCCGTCTTTCAGATAAGACGTTAAACCAAGGTCCTGACTCTCTGTGGTCATTAAAAATCCCATGGCACTTCTCATTAAAGAGCAGGGGGGTAACCCTGGTGTCCCGGCCAAAGTCCCTCTATCGGCCCTTACTATCATGGCCTCCCAATCCTCCCCTTCCACCAAAATAACTCCATCACTGTCTCTCCACTCCACCAATAGCTGGTGTGTGGTAAGCGCACTGGCGCCGTTGTCCTGAGCTTTGGGTGTATGGCCATACACAATAAATGCGCTATATAAATACACATTACATTACATTACAATGAATGAATCTGATTGGTCATACCATATGTTAGCTAATGAGGGATCAGCCGTGATCAATCACAAGCACAAGATCCTCTCGAAATTAGTTTAGAAATTAACTTTACTTATGCCTGATGTAAAACTCAAAGTAGGCAATACTTAACAGTATTTAAGTCTACTGTACACCTGGTGAATACAAATTGTAAATTCTCTGAGAAATATGAAATATTTACAGCTTTTCAAACATTAAAAAATCCTAAATCCAACAACATGAGCAGCTCCGGATAAAACATGTGCTTTTAATCTTGAAATTACGGTAATTACAATACTGAATTTACAGTACTGTGGATTAAATGCAGAATTGAAACTACTTTCACTTCAGTTTCCCCTCATCTAATTGACATAAGAGACTGCTTAATACTCATTGTTGATCATTTTTATCTCATATGATGTGTCACACTGTACTACACCCTGCATTTGTTATGCTTCTTGATGTCCCAACAGTTAGACTAGCAGCCTTTTTTTCTAACTGCATCTGTTTAACACTTCAGAACATGTCAAATCAGCGAATGTACAACATCTGTGAAAAAGGCAGACAAATGCTATGTCTGAGATAGCATAGCAGAGATCAGACTCTCCCCAAATGAGAAGCAGATGGAAATTAATAATCTAGGAGTGACAGAGGCAGAATTCATGGCACATGGTCAACATTCCCAGAGAAGCAGTTATGTTTCGGTGTGTAGGCAAATGATTTGCACCTCTGCTGCTAAGCTAAAACATATCTGCCCTTAATTAGCCATGAGGCATTCTGAGGTCATGGGCTCCTGCTGTTGTCACGGGACACTCGGCTGATGAGCCTGAACTAAATCTATTCTGTCACACTTAAAACAGGATTTCATCTCTCTGTTTCTATCTCTCTCTCTCTCTCTCTCTCTCTCTCTCTCTCTCTGCTTTCCTTGGCGGTATTAAAAACAGGGTTAGTGCTGTACTAATTCTGACATGGGGAAGGCGAGATTCAGACAAAAGTACCAGCGAATCAGCATCATGTCCTATTTAATAAACATCTGATTAATTTCACAGGATTATGCTCATCTGAGCCAAACCATCATCGCTTGAGTACAAGCAGACTAAGCTGTGGCTAACCAAATAGCGTCCCCTGCAGTTAAATCACAGTGAAACATACAGTAATTATGTCATAATTACCATCCTTCAGCTTAAATGTCACAATAAAATGCATTAAGACGTTTCTAAGTTGGCCATATTTGCATATTTTGTACTTGGTTGTGTAGACAAACGCTTACAGTAACTTATGGTGATTATGGGCAAAGTAGACCTCGTCATTTACTGCTCCTTTCAAACTCTATGTCCTGCATCTTTGTGTTATGTACATTTGAATGTTCTGGAAGAAATTACGAGAGGGCTGTCGACTGTTTTAAATAGTCCATTTGAATTAGTTTCGCCTGCAACTGTTTGTTACTTTAACATGTTCATTCATTTTCCTTTGGTTAGTCTATATTTCAGAGGTCGCCACGGCTTAATGAACCACCAACTAATCCAGCATATATTTTTTGGCAGCGGATGCCTTTCCAGTCAGTACTGGGAAACACCCATACAAACACATACGCTACAGATAATTTAGTTTATTCAATTCACCTATAGCGCATGTTTTTGGACTGTGGGGGAAACCGGAGCACTCGGAGGAAACCCACGCCAACACGGGGAGAACATGCAAACTCCACACAGAAATGCCAACTGACCAGGCCGGGACTTAAACCAGTGACCTTCTTGGTGTGAGGCAACAGCACTGAGCCACTTTAACAAGTTTTAGTAAGTTAATAAAGTTTCAACGTTAAGTTATTGATGTTTTTAGTCAGTGTCATTGAGTTTTAAGTTCAAATGACTAGAAAAATCAACTTGATTCAACTTTCATATTCAGAGCAGTAACAAGTTTTACAGTGTGTAGCCAGGCAAAACTTGATCCCTTTGAGATCAAAGGTCTTTAAGCAAGGGTAGCATTTTGATTTGATGGCCATTGATTAGTGTTGTAGGTCAACATTTTAGATTTTGATGATGGATAAGATTCTGACGTTATGATAAGTCTGGATAAAAATATCATGGTTTTACAGTATTGTGGTTACTGCTGAGTATGTTCTTTAAAATGTCTGGGAAAAAAACTAAAACTTTTCCCCCTTCGAACTCGACATATTTTATGATGAGAAACATTCAAAATATTTTGGACCAGTAAACATGTCAGGCTACATAATTCAAATGAATCATTGCTGTTTTAATTAGTTTCAAAACACTGATTTCTTTACCATTTAAAACGACTTGTTGGGATTTTTTCTGCAAGAGATACTGTTGTCCTAAAAAAACAAACAAGCAAACAAACAAACAAAAAAAGTTTAAAAAATCCAATATATACCGTAGGAATGGTATAACAGAAAATGTTGGCAGTTTTATAACCTTGATTTATACACGATGTATCTTGAAAAGCGTCTCATACCTAAAGACATTCTACTATTTGTTATTTCAAATCTGTGCAAACCAATGGTTAAACAAGTCTGCCATTAATCTAAAGAAAAAGAAAAACCCATCTCCAATCAGCAGTGCTGGCCTTTAGCCAATCAGAGCACGCAGTGTGAGTCAAAGCATGACCAACACCTGATCCCAAACACCCATGGTGTTTACCTCAGAGCTAGAAGAGGAGCCATTGTGGATGATATATGCCTTCACACTCCCTTCATGCTTTCTCCACTTTTCTTCACACACAAATGTGAACACAGACCTAAATGCAAATGTACGGGGGGGACTCTAACTCATTTGAATGTTTTATCAGTGTTGCATGGAGCATAATAGACCATTTCAGCAGCCTTTTACACTCTTAAAAATAAAAGATTAAAATGAGGTCACAGGTTCCACAGCAAACTTTTTAGTCAACAATTTTTCTAACAAGTTCTTTTTATATTCACATAACTTTCTGTGATGTTTTTTATGGACCCACCTGGCCAATAAATCACCTTCATTTAAAAAAATGTATAGGCTATCTACACTGAGCTAACCCTTCCAACATGTTCTTTCACACACATACATGAACATATCACACTCACTGTTGAACTTCCTGTGACGGGCCCGGGCCCTCCAGGGCCGCTCGCGGATCCATTGGAGCTTTCGTGACAGTTCCATGGCTGTGGGCCAGACTGAGCCCACAGGACGTCATCGACCAGCGTCAGCCCAATCTTCTCCACTTGTTCCCCAACCATGAGTTCATATCCAAAGCAAACACTGGACCCTTTGAGGGTCTTTGTCCGGTTTTCAAAGAAGACGGTCTGTCTGGCTGCGTATCCGTCGTCTCAACAAGGCTGTTTGCGTTGCCTGAGATCTATATTTTATGCATGAGTCAGGGGAACCCAACTCCCTCTGCCTCTCTGACACATAGACGCTACTCAGCTTTTCTTGATCCCAGGAGCACCACCTATCCATGGACAAACACACACAGAGACAGACAGACACACGTCGAACTGAAACATGACTCTAGTCGTCTCCTGGACAAAGGAAGAGATTGGATAGCAGACAGGGAACATGCATTATGTCTTTGTGTTCCTGAAAGGTGCATTATGCTAATGTATTTTATGATTGTTTGTGTGAACTTATGCATATCCTTTGCCTAAGTGCTTGCTCATTCTTAATCAATGTGTTTCTGTTATCATCAACTTCTATGTAGGGGAAATGTACTTGTGTGTACTTTTTAAATTGCCAATGTTTCAACAACAGTTTTTAAATTATTAATATTAATTCACTATAGAGAACGAGCCCATGGATTGTCTATGAAGGCCAGTATGCTTTTCATGAAGGGACGTTTTTGCCTGAAAAATCGACAGGATGTGACGTAATGCGCACTATAGGCCTGCTATCATACTTAAGACTTATCAAACGCTGATTCACATATTTTTTGATAGATAGATGATAGATGATAGATTTTTAGGTTTTTTGATAAATATTTTGGAAACAGCACGGATACATAAGTCCTCCTTTCCTCTTGCTGTATTTGTGTTATGTATATGTTTAATCTTTATTTATTTTTTTTCTTTCTTTTCTCTCTTTTGTTTCTCTTTTTATTTAATTTTTAATGTTTATATTATTTATCCTGATCTGTTATTGTCATTGTGTTCTTTTGTGTAAATTGAATTTTGTATGTTTGTTATTGAAGTCAATAAAAAAAAAAAACTTCAGACTTATCTTATTATAATTATCAACACTTATCTCATCTTTTCTGTAACTGTGATGTCACTCTTAAATTTTGGAATGATGTTAGTGACTTTTCACACACGAAAAGGACATTCAAGTATGTTGTTAATTTCTACATCTAAACCGAAATTTGCGAATTGTATACCAAAATTTTTACCACCTGTTTTGTTTTTGCTTCGTTATCATTTCTGGTTGTGTTTTTGCAATCCTGTATTGTTCCTGGATATAGTTTATATCTGAATTTGTTTTACTTAATGTAATGTTTCAAAGCTTATAATATATATATATATATATATATATATATATATATATATATATATATATATATATATAAGATTTCTATAAAAAGGTTTTAGATGTAATTTGACCCCCAAGGATGTTCTATTTTATTTTGACCCAAACAATTTATCTGTGGAATTTATAGTGAATTTGGTAAATTTCATATTCTTAAATGTAGATTGAATAACTCTAAACCTTGTTTAAAGGTTTATACTATAGGTTTTCATTTAAATGTAGACTCGCTCTATAATATTAATGGAAAGAAATGTCAAGACACAATTATAGTTGCACAGGAGTTGAAGTTAATTGAATAGTAAACTTGCTGTCAATTGGGTAGGTTAAATCATATTATCATTGTAAAGTTTCTATTGTCTTTTTATTTACTCAATACGTAATTTATATTTTTGTTTATTTCATGTTATTACATTTGTATTTTTTGGATGTCATGTTTAAATTGTATATTTGCTGTTGTTTAAAGAAACTAGCTTAAAAAATACTTCAGACATATATGTGAACAGCATAAACTATAGGCTATTTCAATCACCTCACCTGTCGAATTATGCCACGCTACGCTAATAAGGACGCTAAGAGGACGAGCAGCTATTTAATGTAAAGCTCACCAATCCAAAACCGCATTTATACCCATTTATTTCTTCTGCTAGCATGATGCTAAATTATCATTGTAGTCTTATAATGCCCTCTGGTGGTCATTTCTAATCCATCATCACTTTATATTTTTAAGTTCGAAAGTCAGCATTACAGTCCTAAATGGTCGTCAGGCTCTTGCCATCTAGATACTGAAGTGTTCTGGAGGTTTTTAAATAATTATAAGTGATAATTTCCAATTCCATTACCAATTCTAAGAGTAGCTAATCACTCAGAAAACTAGCAACATGAGCTGTCATTTTATGCATATACAGTAGCACAAACATACAGCACGATTACACCCCAAGATTAGATTAAACCCGTAATCCTAATAAACCTTCATTAGAGATACAATACAATGCAACAAAGAAATTGACCAAAGGATTTTTAGCATCTTTTATTAAGAGTACTACTCCGCATCCAAGGAATAAATAAAAGAAACCAAAAAAAGGAACACAAAGCCTCACATGAACATACAAAACAAAGGAATGCAGTGGAAAAACATTCAACAAAGCACATATTTATGACACCCAGAAGATTACATGTAAAAAATTTGATTGTTTTGTACCAAGTGTTGATCATCTAGCCATATGCATCACAATTATTATAAGGCACATACAATAACCATATATGACACTACGGATGGAATATTCATCACATTTATGACAACAAGTTGAGTTTTTTGGTCAAAATATTAAGAAATGAATAACATAAGGGCAAGATTCACTCTGGATGGATTAAAACATGATTTTGGTGACAGTATTGGACAGATGAAAGATTGAAAGATAAAATAGTGAGATGTACTGTTCTTTAGTAGTTTTAAGACACATTAAAGCTACAACCATTAGCATAGGCTTCATAATTGCTGGCTTTTCTAGACCAATTCTTTGGTGCATTATTTAATGAGCCCATCGGATGAGGAACTAAACTCTGGAGAAATCCTGGAAAATGTCAACTCGGTCAGCATTTAAAGTGATAACTGTGCATGTCAACAATCAAACAAAGTGGAAAAATGAAGAAATAGATCATTTTGATGGTGATGAAAATTGATGAAAAAAAAAAAAAAAAAAAAAGGTTAGTTCACCCAAAAATGAAAATTCTGTTGTCATTTATTAACGCTCATGTTGTTCCAAACCCAAAGGACCTTCATTTATCTTTGAAAGAACATACTAAAAAAATAAATATTGTCCTTGCATTAAGTCTATTCACCCAAATTCCTGAAGCATAAAATGTTCATAAAGAGATCAAGATAAATCCACATGAATTGAACAATTTAATCCAATTTATCCAAATAAAGGGACACAATCACTTTTAAAATACAGACTAGTTTCATTTTGAGTTTTTTTCCACATATTGATCAGCTAATGATGTGTACAACATACACATGTCACAGGATCTCAATAATGCTTGATTTGTTATAACCAATAAGAATCTTCTTGCATGTCATGTGGCTGATTTGATTAGGTAAAAACAGTGACTGGGCTTATATGATTGAGCTTTGATTATCAGAGTTTGTATGTGGATAAAAGCCTAAATAAATTCTTTGGATCCTATAAAGCAGTTCTATCTCTTTGGAAGACTTGGATTAAACCACTTAGAGTCATATAAACTGGTTGTTTTATCCCACATACAAATGTTTTGGACTTTCTATGGATCTATCAGATATTGTTCAACATTTTCTTTTGTGTTCTGAAGATGAACAAAAGTCTTATAGGTCTTTCATGCCACTTGTTGAGTTCACACTTGTGAAAATGATACATGATACAAGCATATTATATGTAGTTTGTCAAGGTAAGTTGACGTAAAGGGGTAGTTCACCCAAAAATCTAAAATAATATAATTATTTAAACAAACTCATGTGGTTTTAGCCACTAGAAGCGAAAAGAAGAACAAATAAAGATTAAAAACACAAAAGATATTTTGAAAAATGTTGGAAACCTGTAACAATTGACTTCCATATTTTTTCTGACACTCAAAAACAAAAACTCCTAATATAATTTAGCTGAAACAACACAATTCTTGACTTTTTTTGGAGAGACAACCTAATTGTTTTAAATTTAATTCACTTCAATTTGTAAAAACTAAATGTAAAAACAGAACACAAATTGTGTGGAACTCAGGATTTTTACAGGGTACTATGGATATTAATGTTTACAGATTTCCAACTTCTTTTGTGTTCAAGAGAACAAATAATACTTAAAAAAAAACCTACTCAAACTGCTTCGGAACAAGTCAAGGGTCAGTAAATGGCAGAATTTTTTTTACTATCCCTTTAAGGGGCTAAAACAACCCTTTACGTGAGTAAATAATACTAACAGAATCTTCATTTTGGGATTAAGTAACTCTTCGCCCACTCCTGTAAACCCAAAAGCTGCTGTTTTACACCATTACTGGCCTTGTGCTGTAAACTTCACACATTTCTAATGTAGTACCTGTACATTTTGACAGTGCTTATCAATGAATCAATGCAATAACCAGTACATGTTATTTTTGGGGCAAGGGAAAAAAACGCCCACTATATAACGGAATTTAAATGAGAACCGAAAAACTGTATATAACAGACCAAAAATGAAGGCTAGTTCTAAAACCGACCTCTGCTAAAAAAAAAAAAAAAAAAAAAAAAAACACTTTTTTTATTGCTTGATGGTATCAGGAAATCTCCAATAGCTGTAGCAAGTCATTTCCCAAAACAGGTGTTAAAAAATGAAGAAAAAGATATGGCTATCAAGTTTGGAGTACTAAAGCAACAATCCTTCATCTCAGTAAACACAATTCATTATCCAGCAAAGGAATCTTCAACGACTTATCTACACGTTTCTGCTAGCAGACCTAACAAAAGTTGACCATCTCAAGTAAGTAATTTCATATACGCAAGACTGATAAACACAAGAAGCTAAAATAGGACTATTATTATTAAACTATTATTACATAGAACTCTTTGACTGAGAAAACACCACATAACCGTCACATTCACAACAGGTTTAAACTGAATGCTCCAATACACTGGCCTGAAAACACAGTCGCAGGTCCAAAGAATCAGAGGCACAGTGTGTTTGTGTTGGTGTGTGTTTGTGTAATCAGTTGTTTACTCGGTTGAATACTTCAAACCTAATCTCCGTCTGCATTGCTCCATTCCCTGCACGCTCAGCCTGGAAGGTGCAGACGTGCTTTTCCAGCTTGCGTTTTGGCTTATTCTCACGAAAAGGCTGGCTAATCCGGCTAAATCCCTGGTTTAGCTTACTTTAGAGCTGGTGTTTATTCTTTTTTGTGATCCTCAGGCGGATTGTCCAGGTCCAAACCAGGTTCTGCTACACAGCAGTAACAAAGCTTCTGTGTTTGCAATGAAAACGTATCTGGAAAAAAAGGAGGAAAAAAGTGAAAATCGTGCAGAATATTAATTAAATCTGGGTGCAAGAGTAAGAGAAGGCAAAACACATTGTTGATAATCAGTATTACTATTCAACATAAGGCCTGAGTGTTTTTTTAAATTATTATTAAATAACAAGCTTTTTGATATAGAAGTTCCAATTTAAACCACCAAACATTCTAAAAACAATTGGTAACAGTTTTCGATTTTGTACATAATTCATAACTAAAATAGGACAGGTGATTTGATGAGTTATGAAAACTAACTCCACGGAAATGTTTTGTTTTATTTTTTTAAAGCATCAAAACAGTAAAAGTGCAATATGGCTTTTTTTTCGAAACGATGTTAAAATGACGGAACACTACTTCACACATATTTTTATGAATGTGACAAAATATTATACAAATTAATATATAATACATTGTTTAATAAAAATAAATACAACTGTAATTTGATAAATCCCAAACATAATTTTTCACTGTCACTACTTAATTACATAAGTAAACAGATCGGAGAAGTGTCAAACTCTTAATGTAGTGTAAGAGTTTGTATACTGAAGGGCTGCAGCTCTGCACAGTTTAGCTTTAACCCTAATTAAACACACCTGATCAAACTAACTAATTGAGTCCTTCAGGCTGGTTTGAAACCTACAGGTAATGCGCCACACTAGTTTGAACATGCGGAATTCTGTTGTATGGCGCTGAGGTCAGTGGCAGGATTAAACAAGTTGATTAGATATCAAAAAAGCAAGCGATTGGTCTATATTTTAAATTTCTGTACAGAGAGTTCATGGTTTGAACTTCTATGTCTCACGCAGTCACGTGATGCAATTTTGCAGGTCAGAGTTCACCAAGCTTAAACTATGCAATGCAGTTTCCGGTCTGTCGCATTCGCATGCATATGAATGGAAGTCTATGGGATGAAAAGTGTAGTGTGACTACACTAACTGAGTTTGACAATCCTGCACTAATTGTTTGCTAGTGGTGCTTGGTTTAAAATTTCCTGACAATACTATTATTTACTAGTAGTATTTGTTATAGGGTGGCACAGTGGGTAGCGCTGTCACCTCACAGCTAGAAGGTCGCTGGTTCCAGTCTCAGCTGGGTCAGTTACCATTTCTGTGTGGAGTTTGCATGTTCCCCCCGTGTTTCCTCCAGGTTCTCCGCATTCCCCAACAAGTCCAAAGAAATGCACTAAAGGTGAATTGGGTAAGCTAAATTGTCCGTAGTGTATGTGTGTATGTTCTGGTTGGGTTGAGCACTGGGCTATGACCCACCTTGTAAAAAATAGATGTTCCGAAACACCAACATGCTGCAGCTAAATATCAACTTCAATATAAACGACCCTGGGGGTAAGCAAGTAGTTGTAAGAATTTACCCAAGTTATGTATTCTCCCAATGTGTTACTTAGATGATTGTTTACTTGCTTAGTTCAAAATGTATATTATTCTAAATTAGTCTATTAAAACACATTATTAATTTACACAGTACAAGTGAATAAAACACTGCAAAGTAACACGCCACAACACACAATTAAAAGGTATTTTTGAAGGTTAACAAAGATAAAAAAAATAAAATAAAAAAACTAGAATCTAAGCTTACAAAGTGATGATGAAGATACACTCAGGTACAGATTTTGAGCTTTGTTTAATGTTCACCGAGTACTTTCAGACAACCTTTTAAGTGACAATTTATTTTAAATGTAAATAATGGATCTTGAAATTAAGTTAAATTGATTATGATGGGGTTTTCTATCTTGTTGAATGCAAAAAAAAAGTAACTTGTAACCACTGACATCCATAGTAAAAAACTAAATACTATGGATGTCAATGGCTAACAGTTTCCAACATTCTTAAAAGTATCTTCTTTTGTGTTAAACAGAAAAAAACAACAGGAAACACTTGAGGGTGAGTAAATGTCAGAATTTTTTTGTGGGTAAACTATCCCTTTTAAAGAACATTTAACATGAACGTTAAAGCTGTGAACTCAACATGCACTATAATTAACAACATTTAAATAATTTAATATTTATGAGTTGGATTATGCAGTCATTTTTTCTTGTAAGTGCAGCACGCTTATTGACAAAGCCCACCCACACTTGCCTCTGATTGGCTGAGATTTTTTATTAATGTCTTATCTCGAGTCTGGTGTGAAAAGACAAATTGCTTGCAACTGGAATCGCATCTAATAACCTCAACACCAACCATGAGTGACATCTTATATTTTCCATGTAATGCACTCCAGATTTATTGAAGCCTACTTTAAAATCATCAGTATCAAATAAAGAAGTGAAGTTTCACAAACTAATTTCAAGAGGAGCACGTGATGATTGTGCACTGCTGGCCACTCATCCATAATCAGTAATAATCCAATCAGAATGATCCTAGCTTAATATAAATGGATCACTTTCTCCTTATTGCTCTATCTTCTTTTTGGAAGAATCCCCCCGTCCACCCCATCTCCTCCTTTTCTTTCCTTCTAAAGGGGGAGCGATCGAGACCTACCAGATCTCGGATCCCCTGATATGCTTCTAGACCGGGTCGGGAGCCCTGGGCTCAAATATCTCCGAGCTCAGGGTTCTCTCCCGGGACAGCATGCCAAACATGCTATAAATGCCAAGCATATCTAAGAGGGAACTCTTGAAATACTAGAGGTGAAGTTCACGGTGAAGCAATTTGCCCTACATATAGATCATTATACAGTCAGTCGGTCTCAAATTCATTAAACATTACCGCATGTATGCACAACTAAAACCCCTAGAAGGCAATAAAAAGCCTGGGTGTAGCACATATGAGAATGTGTCAATATAATAAATGCTTCCTACAGCCTGCAGCAGACATCAGAGGAGTGCAGGTGTTGCCGGAGACAAAAATACAAATAAGACAAGAGAAATGAGAGGTTTATACTGTAAGTGTCTTTGTGTGTGCTCACTTACCAAGCATCTGTCCCAAAAAGGCAGGTCTCGAGCTGGGTGGGAGATGCACACATATATAATAGACCGGTGCCCCAGAGAGAGCGACGGCGATTCCCACTAGAGAGTTGATTGTGTCGCTGTAGAGTGGCACAACCACCAGAAACACACTGCACAGACAGTACACTATGGGGAAGAACAGACTCAGCTGCATGGAAACAGACACACACAAAAGACAGTCAGTTTAGCAGATCATAAACAAGGGTGATAAGAACTAATAAAACTGTCAGCTGGGTTGTAAGTGTGAGATTTATGACATTAGGTCTTATCAAGTTAAGCCTTGTATTAGCATGCATTCAAGTGCATCTCTTGTGATCACTTGTACTGGTGCTCATTTCTCTAGTATTGTGCCATGTCCTGTGTCATTCTTGCAGGTATTTTCACAAATACTTTTGAATGAATGAATGATAGCATTATGAAAGAAGCATGTGTTTGGGTACAAGCCATGCATTTTGAAAAAGAATACCTACACCCACTGGCCACTTTATTAGGTGTACCTACTCCCTTTTGCCTTTAAAACTGCCTTAATCCTTCATGGCATAGACAATTCCATTCAACAAGGTAATGGAAATATTCCTCAGAGATTTTTTTTGGTCCACATATTGACATGATAGCATCACGCAGTTGCTGCAGATTTGTCAGCTGCACATGCATGTTGCAAATCTCTTGTTCAACCACATCCCAAAGGTGCCAGTGAACTCATTGTCATGTTCAGGAAACCAGTCTGAGATGATTCGCTTTATGACATGGCACGTTATCCTACTGGAAGTAGCTATCAGATGATGGGTACACTGAGGTCATAAAGGGATGGACATGGTCAGCAACAATACTCGGCTAGGCTGTGGTGTTGACACGATTGGTCAATTGGTACTAATGGGCCCAAAGTGTACCAAGAAAATATCCCCCACACATTAAACCACCAGCCTGAACCGTTGAAACAAGGCAGGATGGATCCATGCTTTCATGTTGTTGATGCCAAATTCTAAATGTACCATCCAAATGTTGCAGCAGAAATCGAGATTCATTAGACCAGGCAACATTTCTCCAATCTTCCATTGTCCAGTTTTGGTGAGCCTGTACGAATTATCGCCTCCGTTACCTGTTCTTAGCTGACCGGAGTGGCACCCGGTGTGATCTTCTGCTGCTGTAGCCCATCCGCCTCTAGTTTGGACGTGTTGTGTGTTCAGCTCTTCTGCAGACCTCAGTTGTAACGAGTGGTTGCGCAACTGTTACCTTTCTATCAGCTCAAACCAGTTTGGCAATTCTCCTCTGACTTCTGGCATTTGAGCCGCTTACTGGATTTCTTCTCTCTTTTTTTTTGGACTCTTCTCTGTAAACCCTAAAGGAGGTTGTGCATGAAAATCCCAGTGGATCAGCAGATTCTGAAATACTCAGATCAGCCCATCTGGCACCAACAAACATGCCTCATTCAAAGTCACTTAAATCACCATTCTTCCTCTTTTTAATGCTTGGTTTGAACTGCAGCAGATTGTCTTGACCATGTCTACATGCCTAAATGCATTGAGTTGCTGTTTTAAAAGGGAATATTATTCAGCTTAAAAGTGCAATTTAAGAGGCTTTACTAGGTTAACTAGGCAAGTCATGGGATGACAGTAGTTTGTTCTGTAGTCATTAAAAAAAAAAAAAACATATATATATTGGAAATATTGGAAAAAGAATTAAAATTCACAAGAGGGTTAAAAATGTTGTTTTTAACCGCTGTCTTTTGTGGGATACACAACAAAATCAATCTGACTGAAGGCATTTTCGACTACCATTTAAAGCTGTACTTATAGTAGGTGTACCTTTAATAGCTTACAGGTTATTATATCCTATGAAATAAGGAAGGGCTTTTAAGTAACAGAACCTGACAGTTGAGTTTCTACTTTACACAAAAATGCTACTTTGGTGCATTTTCAGCTTATTTAAAATGGAGTTGAAACAACACAATGCTTAAAGTTATTTTTGGACAACTTAATTGTTTTGTGTTTAATTTACTTAAATTTGTAAAACAATTAAGTTAACTTAATTGGTTTAAATTGTGACAACATGAAAAAAAAATTTTTTTTTGCAGTTCAGAAAGGTAGTGCATTAAGTATTACAAAAAAAATCTGCCACTTTGTAGGGCACATGGTGGATGATAAAGGCCACTAAATAGTAGATATTATTGTAGCTCTCTAGCTTCTGAACCAGACTTACCTTTATAGGACGAGGCATGTCAGGTGCTTTAAAACGCAGGTAAATCTGACTCCCTATGGAAAGGCCAATGAAGAGCCAGTAGTTAAAGCTGAAGTAATTAATCAGCTGAAACACATCTCTTACACAAAGGTATATGAGCGACATGCCACCCTATAAGAGAAGAGGAGGGGGAAAAACAGATTGTAAAGCATCCAATCTGTTTAGTGCAGAATCTGGATTTTCAACATAGTATAGACATGTCAGAGCCTGTTTGCTCACATTGAACAGCAGGGCTGGGATTGGAGTGTAGCGCTTGACGTGTATCATGCAGAGAACGTTGGGTAAATGGCCCTCACGAGAGCCTACGAAGAATAACCTGGAAGCAGAAATAGTTTTTTGATGCGATCAGACATCAAGTTATTAAACAACGAGAGACTGTCAAGGGAGGACGTTCTTTCCTTTTTTACCTGGAGGCAGCGATGATAGATGAGTTTAAACCTCCATAACAGGAAATAGCCACAGACAGCGGGATGAGCCAGCTTGCATATCCCAGCACATAGTCAGCAAACGTCTGAACACAAAAGAAAAGATGCTATTTAATTGATATTACAGCCAATAAATGGATGATTTTCTCTACTAAGTTTATCTAAATTCATTCATCTAAATCAGAGATGTACAAAATAAGACCCACAGGCCAAAGTTGGCCCATAGTATTCTTTGATATGGCCCACCATTCCATCTGAGAAGAGGAGGAGAATGATGGGGAGCATTGTCGAGAATGCCTTTAACCGTGCATTCACACAGGGCTTCAGCGTCAACACTTGATGGAGGGCATGTCTGATATTAGGGTTGACGCAGCTGTCAGTGTCGGCTAGAGCTGCACGATTCTGGCTAAAATGCAATTATTATTGTTTTTTCTCAAACATATGGTAAATCAACAATAATAATAGTATGTGTAGGTCTACTAGTTTCTATAAATAATCCTATTTTACATATACTGTAATAATTCTGATGTTGAATTTTGTTTGAGATATAGGCCTATGCTTAAAAACTGTCATTGACAACATTATTAGACCATTTTATTCACTGGTAAAATCAACATTATATAGGCTAAAGTAGTTATACTGACACTAAACATTTATTTTTATGCACAACTGTGTGTTCGCTATGAAAGAAAAAACATATCAAATGCTTGTCGTAATCATAACTCTAAAATGCAATATGATGATTTAAATGATGTGCACGCTATCGGTTTCATTTTCACTGCTAAGTGCTGTTCATACTTTGTGCGCGGCTGTCAAGCGATCACTCTGTGCCACAATCTAAATAATATGTACAACTTTGTTATGTATTTGGCATTCAACTCCATTGTGTAATAAATGGGATTATATATGTAATGTAATACAGTTTGCTATATCTTCTGCCCACAGCTCTCAGTGAAGTTTGGATTTTGACCCTTCATAAGAAAAAGTTTAGGCATGCCTGATTAGAGCTGGACTGATAAACGATATATTGAATCGAGATAAAATTTATGTCAATAACAATGATAAGCTTTGAACTTTTTTTACTCTATATTGATCTAAGAGCCAATCACACTGCAGAAATGTGCAACAATGGGAATCTAATAGCGTGTTGATGATAGAGACGTACCAAGAGATGTATCTGTCGAAAATGTCATGCCATTAAATACACCCTCTAATTCTGTGGCTTCAATCATTGTAGGGAATTTTTTTTAAATCTAGAAGCATTAACAACTGATATTGAAATATATATCGTATAATTCAATATGGAAAATAATTATCTTGATTGCATTTTGCCATATCAACCAGCCCTACCCTGATGTAAAAAAATATAATAAATCTGACATTAAATTTGTACATTCTAAAAGGCATCAACATTGTAATATAAACTCAGTAAAATTTAAATTCACTTTTTCAAGGTTTAATTTATAATGTTTTACTAGTGTCTGTTTTATCAGGTCTATAACTGTTTGATGCCACATAAAATTGCATTTATTGGTGCATATTTGACAAGAAAATAATTGTGTAATAATATATCAGGAATGACAAAATAACAATACTACTACTACTACTACTACTACTACTACTAATAAAGACTATTTCACCCATATTATTACTTTAAAAGTTTATTATAAATACCATACATACTACTGCAAAATTTCACAGTATACAGAATATTTAAGAATGAATATGGTTATAAATAATAATAATAATAATAATAATAATTTATTTGTTTTCTTTGCAGCTTAATCCCTTTATTAATCTAAGGTTGCCACAGCGGAATGAACCGTTAACTTATCCAGCATAAATATTTTTTTAAAACAACTTAAATGCTTCATTTTCAAAAACCATCAATCTTTTACAATTATAATTTTATTGGTACAATAAAAAGTACAATTGGTACAATTATTATTATTTTGGTGGAAAAATGCAGGGTGCTTTTCTTTTGACAGCCGATTTAAAAAGTGCTTCTTTTTAACAAGTTTGATGCATGTTTTTCCCACAAAGCTTTGTAATCGACCCACATTTAAAGCACATGCAGATATGGAGTTCCTATGAAACTGCATGTAAGGGGAACAGAGGGGTTTTGAGACAGTCAAAACAGCTGATTGTGGATTGCTTGTGACCGTATTTGCAATTTAATAACTGCAGTAATAATACGAGTAGCACAATTTTACTTGCATCTTCTCCATATTTCATGCAGCTGCAGTCGTTCCAAATGCTTAGTATTTGCTGAACTGCTGTTAAGATTCTTACAGAAAAAACAACAATTCTTTGGAGTAATTTACAGCTGCCTCAAATCAGCAACAAAACAGTGCATCAAAAACAGTAAACATGGTTTATGGGACATTATAGCCATAAAAACTCTTTCCGAAGCAGCAAACTAGCCTAATTGCAGGCAGCAGAACGTCTGTGGCTCTGGACTAATGTCATGGAGCATCTCTAGAGAGAGGACCTGCCTCAAGCTGCTCTGCTTAACTAGATCAGAGTAACAGGAGATGAAAACATGATCAAATCTGGAGCAAATAAACTGAACAGACGCAGACAATTAACTTGCACGAGGCATACAGGATCATGTGGTTAAAAAAAATTGAGTTTGGTTATACAGTAGCTAGAGTTATTGGGATGCGATGATAAAAGATTAGCTTCAAGCCAAGTTTTACTCACCACAGCCACGGCTTCACTCTGTAACAGAGTATTCATGTCCAGCACTGCATAATAAGCCACGTTAGTTAGGATGTAGATTATTGTGACAATGGGCATGGAGATTGCTATTGACAACGGCAAATTTCTATAAAAGAGAAATAGAGATTTAATGTGAATACTTTATTTTGATTCAATGAAACTGTTGTATAGTCATTAGTAAATCAAGCTCAATATATTTCTATATCTCAAGGGATTGCAAATTCCCGTTTTCAAACAGGTTTCCAAACACAAATTTTATTTGTGTGTGGGCCCTACCTCAAACATTTAAGGTCAGAAACACAACACACAAGTGTATTGCTTGTAGACACTGGTGAACAAAGTCTTTTTTTAAAAAAAATTTTCCCCCCACACACAAAAATGTTCTTGGAGGTTCACATTACTGAAGTCATGTGGACTGTTTAGACAATGTTTTGGTTCCTTTTCTGGACTTTGACCATCCCTGGCTGTATATTAGTGGTCTTTTTATCACCGTGAACAGGTCAATGCTTGGGTGGTGTGACAGGTGGGGGGTTTAGGGTAAACGTAGATTGCTAGGCAACCATCACCCGACAAAACATTACTGTAAATCTGATACAAGTTTTATTTATGAAAATTTTTATGAAAAAGTTTTAATTTATGAAAATTTATGAAAGTTTTATTTATGAAAATCCTTGGTAATTTACCGTTCCTTTTCCCCTTCACAAAGAAACTTTCCAAAGACAACTGTTTCTTACTCATTTTGCTAGCTTGTGGGTTTAATTTGTGCGCTCAAGTGACCGAGATGTAAGAGAGAATACGGTCATTTTTCTAAAAAAATAAAAATAAATAGATTTTTCAAAATAAAAGATTGTTCAGACTCGGATAAAAAAAAAAAAGAAAATAATAAATGATTTCTTGTGCGGCCCGGTACCAATTGATCCACAGATCGGTACCATTCTGCGGCCTGGTGGTTAGGGACCACTACTGTATATGACAAGAGAGCCCCCGGACTTAATCTAAAACACCTTCATTTGTGTTCTGAAGATGAATGAAGGTTCCAGGGGAATGGACTGACAAGAGGATTAGTCAATAATAGAACAAGTTTTATTTTTGGGTTTAACTCTTTAAAAAGACATAGTTTGTTTTATTAAAAAAACAGTTACTCACAATTTACTTAACTGATTCCAAACCATCATGAGTTTTCATTGTTATTATGAAGTTGAACAAAGTAGAATCAATTTTGAAGAATGTACAGTAGGGAAAAGGTATGGAAGTCAATGACAACTGGTTAATAGCAATCTTCAAAATTATCTTCTATTGCATTTAAAAGAAGAAAGAAGCTTAAACAGGTTTAGAAGAGCTTGAGGGCAGGTAAGCTTTTTTTTTTGGTTGAACTATTCCTTTAAAACGAGCAAAGAGCTACAAAGTTTACATTTTCCGGAGCAACCCTGTGATGGTTTAATGAATTATATTTGCATCTAAGAAGTGAGTGTGTAGTAAACAATTCGATTATATTTGGTTCTTATTAACTTAAATGATTATTAACAGATTATTATCATATCAAGCAAAATGTCATGGATGTTTGTACCTCTCTGGGTTCTTAATCTCCTCTGTGATGAAGTTCAGGGTATCCCAGCCTGAGTAAGAGTACAGAGCGGCATACAGAGCCAAAGACATGTTGCCTGGATCCAGTTTAGAATTCTCAAATGAATCCCTAAAGTTGTTTGTTTCTCCTGAAATGCAAATTGTTGTAAAAAACATGAGAAACAAATGGCAAATGACTTAATAAAATATAAATGTGTAGCACTACGGTTTATCAGGGTTGTATTTATTATATTTTAAAAATGCACAAATAGTAATGCTGTTAAAAATACATCTAAAATAAAAAAAAACTATTTCAAGGTATTATTAAAAAATAAATAAATAAAAATTATTATATATATTATATATATATATATATATATATAAATATATAATCCTTCATATATCCTTCAAAAATCAATATGCTGGTTTGATGCTCAAGAACAGTCTTACAAACAGACGTACAATAATGTTTTTTTTTTTTTTTTTTTCAAAAAATGATTATTTCTTAGGGCTCGTTGATTATTCTAAAGCAGGTCACACACCAGAAGCGCCGCCATGCCATGTGCCACCATGCCATATGCCGCCATGCCACGCAGTGCCATGCATTTTAGAATTCTAAACATAGGTTTCTATTACGGTACACACACCGGCGACGCAAGATTAGTTTCATGTTAAATATCATGCGAATGTGCACGTCTGATGTGTGATACTTTAAACCAGGGGTCTCAAACTCAATTTACCTGGGGGCCGCAGGAGGCAAAGTCTGGGTGAGGCTGGGCCGCATAAGGGATTTCACAAAAAAAAGTCCTCAAATGTCATTATTAACAGTTTTAATTATTTCTTCTGAACATGTAGTGTCCTGAACATTAATAAACATTGAGTGAAGATTATGAACAGTTCTTCTGAACATGGCATCTTTTGCCTACTTCTTGCTGCCAGAGACTTGACAGCGCTTCTTCTCACAATACTGAACCACATTTGGCTTTAGAGCGGAAGCAGTTGAGACCCTCAGTATGGCTTGAAGATGATCATCATTAAGTCTAGACCTGTACTTTGACTTATTGAAGTCCTAGGGAAAAAAGTGGGGGAACTCACTCAAAACTTCCATTCCCTCACCTAAAAAAAGGCGTATATATGTATAAATAAAACACCCCCACCCCACTCCAGTCACATCAGTCTGTACCAGTCTGTATCTACCTATAATATCAACACAATCTCAGGCACGTGCACACATAGGGCTCAACCTGTGCAGAGCACATGCCCTTTTTAGTCTTGCATAGAAAGTGCCCTTCCAAAATGATCAAAAGTGCCCCCGCGACGCGACACACCCTCGGTCCCGCCCTTCAGTAGGCGCGCGATAACACCGCTCGAGTACGTGCGCGACAACACAGCTGATCAGAACGCGCGTGACAACGCGCATCGAGTGACAAGCGCGCTGTGTACGGATAGAATCAGCGGAGCGGGGAGCGCTCTCTCTCCCCGCTCCGCTGATTCTGTCAGTGTACAGCGGTCGGCGCGGGCCACAAAATATTGCACTGAGGGCCGCGAGTTTGAGACCCCTGCTTTAAACTGTCATGTGCGCGCCGTGTCGCAGCACCGAGCGGCGCTTCTGGTGTGCGACCTGCTTAAGGTTTAGTATCACATTTGCTCAATTCAATATGTTGTTATAAGTAATGAACAGTATTCAGACTATTAGAAAGAACTTTATTGCCAAGAGTACAGTAGTTTCCAGTACAGAGAGTACAAAAAGTACAAACAAAGCACAAAGTGCAAACATAGTGCTGACACAAATAGAAAAATAAGAACATGAATAAGTATACAAGTAAACTACTGTATGTGTGTGTGTGTGTGTGTGTGTGTGTGTGTCAGTAAATACACACCTTGGGCTAGGACAACCATTCCAGCGATGATAATGACTATGAGAGCCAGGACTTTAGCTACAGTAGAGATGACCTGAAGAATGGCCCCCCATTTCACCTTCATGCAGTTCACTATAGTCAGAAGACCTGCAAAAAAAAAACAAATGCAGACATGTCAAAATAGACAGTATACATTAGCTGGTCACTGTTAGCAACATACTTCAGAGTATATGACTGGATCTTTATTGTAGTGATTTAAAATGTTTCTGGCTTTGTATTTTACAATTTGATACCAATAAATATTGGAGTTGCCATCCTGAAATATGCCCATGGAATACATCTAAGCATAGCTTTTTTAACAAATAAAAGGTAAACACTGCAACTGATAGAGTCTTAAAGAACTGTAAGCATACATACAACAAACCAGAACCATATTAATGATTTCATTGTAGATCCATTCATACACTATTAATTATTAGCTTCAACCTAAACAGAATATTTTTGACGATGCATTTTTGATTGTAAAACTGCTGGTTTCATCCATTTTAAACTGCTGATTGAAACTGGATTTTCCAGACAATTAAGGTATTAGTTAAATGCTTCATAATTACAGGATAGGCTTGGGCGGTATCCAAATTTTGATACTATCAAACCACCTCCCTATTTTACCTCAGTATATGGTATTAACATTCATTAAAAAAAAAAAATTACGACATAAGGCTCAGAAAGAATTACCAAACTGTTGGCTTGTGCATAAAACATTCATAAACTGAATACCGTATATGCAACCTTCAGTTCAAGGTATTTCCATCTCCTGTCGTCACCTTTTTGTAGCACAATTTGCAAATTGCCTCATCAGTATTTACCAGCTCTCCGTTCTCGTTCGGTCGAAATCCGAAATACTGCCAAACTGCAGAAGTTGTGTTCTTTTTAAAGACCAAGTCACTTGGTGCATGTCTCGCCAGCTTTCCCCACGTCTGTCTTTCTCCGCCACGCTATCCCGTGATTACAACCCCTCATACGCATTTATGGGCATCATATAAACTACATTTAATATTTTATTTTTGTCTTCTATAAAAGTACATGTTTTTTATGATGGTTTAACGGTATTGAAACTAATATCGTTGCTATTTTTAGATCCCAAGGTATACCATATTACTGTATTAGCGCCCAGGCCTATTACAGGATAATTATCAAATTTTCTAAATTTATCAGAAGATCCTCTTCCAGTATTTTGGTTCACCAACCGGTTATCCAAGGCTATTAAAGGGTTAGTTCACTCAGAAAGTATCATTCCATATCATTCCAAACCCCTGAAGCGTTCATTTTTAAAACGCAAAGACTTTTGTTTTTCTTCAGAACACACATTTGGATATTTTAGATGATATCAGAGAGCTCCTCCATGTAAGTTCAGAAAAGGTACTAAAAGCTTTGTTAAATCTGTCCATGTGACTTCAGTGGTTCAACAGTAATTATATAAATTTTAATAAAGACGTTTGTGTGCATTTTGCTCACCTAGATTATGTGCATTTAAGGGCAATATGATGCTTGCATGTTGCACTGCTGTCTCTAATGGCAATACACTGTACTGCCTATAGTAAACGCACACCCTGACCTGAGTGAACAAAGTCTTTTTTTTTATGCACAGAATTCACTTTAAATGTTTTGACAGATTTATTTCCTTTTCTGGACTTTGAATATCTCTGAACTGTTGCTGTTGCAGTCAATGGAGGATGAGAGAGCTCCAGGATTTCATCTAAAATATCCTAATTTGTGTTATGAAGTTAAACGAAGGTCTCAGAGGATTGATAAGACATGAAAGTTAGCAAATAATAACATAATTTTCATATTGGGTGAACTAATCCTTTAAATAGGCTCTGTGAGAGTAATTTCTTAACTCAACTCCTGTTTTACTGACTGGTAATTCAAGTTCCTCCACTCACTTGATACTGCAGTGGGCTTTTCTGGCATCTAATTTCACCAACGAACTAAGCCTGACAGTAATTCACTCCTCGATAATAGACTCTGGCTCTGAGGTGTTGTTTCTACAGTACTGCAAATGCCATCCCGACTGGACATCCCAGCACTACGATACCCAGGAGATTAATTGAGGTATTTCTGTACCTGATTTAATCTCAACCCAAATGTCAACTCATTCTGAAGACGTCGCACAGAGACCAAGGACAAATAAAGTGCTATCCATCTCAAAAGACCAGAAAATACACCCTTTAGAATTAAACTGTTATATAGGATTTGTAGATTTGTGATTCTGTTTGTCCAGTAATTCAGCGAGTGTGGACTTTGCCACAGTAATCTGACAAATACCCAAGAACTCCCTGAACTCCATCAAACTGCACATCAACATCACCATAGTCTTTATTAAGGTCTTGTGGAAGTCTTGGCAGGATTGCAAACTGAAGTCCACAGGGAAAGTATTTGGTCGACATAAATAAAACACGGCTGAATAATGCCAACCAACACTTACATGGATGGAGAGAGCAGCCTGGCAGTCGTAGTGAAACTAACAGCTGAACTAACAGAAAGCACATGCTTCAAGGTTTATTGAGACGTTACTCACTCCGTTTAGACAAAATACATGGGCAAAGTACACGTTCACAAAAAACTGCGAGCAAGTAAGCTAACCAAATAAAACCATGACATCATTTGTTCACCCTCATGTTGAGGCTCATCTGCTGGATTGTGTAATGCTACACAGAGGTAGTTTACAAAAAAATTTCTTGCAGAAAAAGTCTTTTAAAATGAATAAAATGCAACGTAAACTAAAGCACACACAAATTTAATTTAAAAAATGAACTAATAAAAGGATTTTAATAAAATTACTTTGTGGAGAAAGCATGAACCTTGAGCATCCTGGGTTACCTAAAGATATTTAAAAGTTTTAAAGTATGCAAACTCTCCAAGGATTTAGAACAGTGTTATTTCAGTGCTATTTATTACTATTTAGAATCATTTTTATTAGATTTTATAATTATTTTATACATTTTTTTCATTAACTTTACTGTAGATGTTAGTTTATGTGCTTTTTTGTTAAACTTTTCTTGGTTTTAGTCCATTTAGCAATAGATTAGTAGTAGCCAAGTAATGTTTTCAACAAGGCATTCTATTTTTTAATAATAAAGTAAAATAAATGCAAGTAAAGTGTCTAACATTTTAAAACTTCATTAAAAATAAAGTCATTAAAATGTCAACTGATTGACTTAAATTTTATTTTAAAGATTAAAAATGTTAATAGTACGAGTTTTAAACATAACACGAAGTTGGGGCTGAACGTTATTGGGAAAAGATTCCATTGTAATATTTTGTTATTCTGTGATATACTAGTGGGAGGTGTGCCAAAGGCCGAGTGCCTTAAGGGCTTCACACACCGGATGCTGCGCTTAGTGCCGTGACACGGCGCGCACAGGTGAAAGTATCACACACCATATTTGCATGGTATTTATAAAGAAACTTATCAGATGGCGCTCTGTGGCGCGGCAGAAATATGAACAGTGTCCTGAGTCGTGGCTGGGCATTGCGGCGGCAGTGTGCGTACCCTGATAGAAACCTATGTTTAGAATTCTAAAATGCATGGCAGTGCGCAACGCTTCTGGTGTGCGACTGCTTTTCTGTCCCACCAGTGATGATAGATAGTCATATCACACTTTTTTAGTGTGATGTTGCGTTTATACAACAGTTTGACAGCATAATCATGTATATAAACAAGAAAACCAAACACGAGAGTCTAAAAACCTTTTTGTATTAGGAACTACTTTCTTCCACCATTCATTCATATCTGCTGCTGACATCAGTACAGCAGGAACTGTTGCTACTTCACCAACGTCACTTTAAAGCTAGCACTTTATTCTCTAGCAATTACTTTGTTTAACTAATAGGTGGCAATGACCAGCTATCAAAAACATGCCATTGAATAATTCATCAAAAATGATGCATCTAGCAATGAAACATTACCTTTTATGTGTGAATAACTGAATCATTTATTGAAAATGAGACTAAAAATAAATATGGGCTGTACAAATTATAATGTTACATTTCTACATTTAGTGTCATTAGCAACAGTAGTAGTAGTAGTAAGAGTAAATTTTTTACAGTACTGAATATTTTACCATTTATTTTAATTTAGCTGATTGTTTCTTCATTTTATTTTTGATCAAATTAAAGGTTTTAAGTTCTGTTTGTTAAAACCAAAAAGTGTCTTGCAGTACTGATTTTGTAATAAATGGAAAGCAAATGATATTTACCTTCTCCCCTTTTTGGCTGATCTGAAAAACGGACCCATCCGAGACTAAAACATCTGAACCGTGAGATTTGTGATCCGTTACACAAAGCGAAATTTATGCTGAAACTATATATTGTGCAGCCTTATATAATTAGTATAATTAGTTATATAATTAGTAAATATATTTAGAATATATATTTAGTATATATAATGTATTTAAAATTTAATTCAAATAATGAAACTGCAAGGATCTAAAAAAAAAAATATCCACATCAGCACCATGCCCATTGACATGAAGCACTCAATGCAGAGTAATCTTACACACACTAAACTGTGTGAACAGTAAACATAGTGAATCCCAGGGAAAGTTGCCTTTATTGTGCCACTATTTACACTGCTTAAAGTGCTGTTACATGTGTTTTTATCAAAGCAATCTCTACATGCATGAATGAGTGGAAAAGCACTTACCAATAATGAGAGCTGCAATGAGCCGTACCGCATCATATGGTGCCGGGCAAGTAGGGAAGAACGGTTTCACCAAATAATTAGCAAAGGTAAGAGCAATGACTGCCTGGCAGGCCGGTTCCACAATCATCAGTGAAGTCCACAGACGAATAAAGGCCAAGAAACCACCAAAGGTCTCTAGAATGTAGGCATAACTGGCTCCTGACTTGCGAATGGTAGTGCCGAGCTCGGCGTAGCACAGAGCACCAAAAACAGAGAAGATTCCTCCGATTGCCCAAACAACTAGTGACAAACCATAAGATCCAGTTTTTTCAAGGACACCAATCGGGGAAACGAAAATGCCCGAACCAATCATGTTTCCAACAATGAGACAAACGCCATGCAGTAGCGAGATCTCTTGCTTGAGCCGCATGGAGCTAGTGGAGCCGCTGTCCCCCATGATGAACTTGAGTGGACTTTACTCTCCAAAAATTAAGAATCAGGATTGTGATGGAGGAACATCAACCACCTGAGGGTCTGTTCACATCAAGTATGGAGTTTCAGCTTGGTCTCATGTTGTTTTTCTTTCCACGTCCAATCTAAAAAGAGGTAAAACAAAGTCATGGAATGTTAATAAATACAGGTACTGTAAGGTTTTGCTGACAACACAAAAACATTTCGCCTCAATCATCAATGTTAACAAGCCCTCTTGGAGAACAAGTTTTTTAAATTGAGCCTCACACCTGATGCCCAGAATGTCACAGAGCAACTGTAGTGAGATCAGTAGGGAACCATGATAAAAAACTAGGCAACACTTGTTGGGTGTGGTCATCAACAACTGCTTTTGGAGATAAAACACAGGGACTGGTGTCACTTTTTTGACACTAAATCTACATGGGTTTATGTACATCTAAAATGGCATGGTTATGTTATATACCAAGTACACTATATCCCATGTAATTGGTATACACCAGAAATGAAAGAATTAGCTAATAAATATTATGACTGAGATCCCCCCCCCCCCAAGACATTTATATAATGCATTCTAAAGGTGTGTTCCCACTTGTAGTTTTGGCCAATAAATTAATTAATTAATTAATTAAATAATTAATTAATTAAAAATAATAATACATTTTGTCCTCATACACTTTCAGATCACACCTTAAAAGTCACCAAAAATCTGCGTTTGGTTTTGCTTGTCTGGTGCTCACCAGAGTTTGCATAGCAACACTTACAATTATTCAAATTAACCCAAAAAAAAAAAAACAAAGCAATTGCAGCTGAGTTGGTTTCAATCAATCCAAATGTTCACACCCTGAAAGTTGACTTACTTGACCAGTTCAAGACCTCATAGCCACTTTGAAATAAAAATGATCATGTAATGAGTGATAGAAAAGTGACAAACACACCTTGATTCTTTTCAAGCTCTGCTGTATAACTTGACCAAATTTACATGAATAAGGAAAATCCATTTCGTTGCTACTGGGTTGCTTTTGTGTTTTTTTTTCATATCGTCACCTTGGAATTATAAGGTTGTATCTGCATTCTGAATGATTTTGAGATATTAAGCTTAAAAGTTTTTGCATTCTATAGCAAACAGTATGTGTGTAACATTTGTTTTTTTTTTGTGTGTGTGTTTTTTTTTAATAAAAAAGTCCTAAAATGTAAACAACTTATTAAAAAAACATCCCATAATGTAAATAAGTTGTCATTTATTAAAATATGTCAATAACTCAATTTTGACAAAAAAGCTAGATAAAACCTTATAATTTTAAAGGTGATGATCTACTGGATAGGTAAGTTTAAAAATTAGGTTTTTGTTTTAGAAGCTTATTAAACATATGCCATTTAAGTTTTTAACTTAAAAACAAAGTCTAAACCTTCAGTTTTTGTTCCAACAGTCTGTGTCTTGCCACATCTGAATATGGCCACATTATGAACATGTAAACAGCAAAATGTTAACTGCATCCAACCATTACTTTCTCCACCTAAACAACATGATGTTTATAAGAGGCTATTGAAATAAGTTTTAAAGTGTGAAGCCATTTTAACTATAAAAATACATTTCATTGCATACGTCTAACTTATTGCACAAATGTAAGTCACTGACAAATAAATAAATATAATTTAATAATAATAATAGATAAGAAATTCTAAGAATTGAGCAAAATAAACTACAATTTATTATGCAGCATCTTCAATGAATGCTATTCTGCATTCATACAGGAATACTACAACCTGTGTGGTGCATTTACACCATGATTTATACCTCAAAATACACAACTACTGAAACTCAGTAACAGTAACAAACAGTAACAAACAGACATTTATGGAGCTTAAAAAACCCGGAAGACAATGTAACTTATTGTTACTTGAAAAAAAAAACATAAAAACAACAACAAAAACTGAACACTTAAACCTAATTCTTTTCTATTACTTGACTTTTCATATATATTTTACATTTTAAACTTACGCGCGCGATCATACATTGTGCAATAATGTTACATTCCCGGGTTTAAATGCTCGATTCGCGCCAACACAAAAACCCTTGCTTCGGTGTATGTGAACAAACAAACAAAAGAGCGAACATTACAAAATAATCTTTATTTACTACTCCTCAAACCGCGTTTAGTCGATAAAACTATTTTCTTTGTCAACGAAGGATACAAGTTATATCCGTCTCCAACGTTGTTTACCGCAAGAGGAAGTTACCCACACGTTATTCAGGTTTAGTCTCACACTGCTAAACACTCTCACCATCTCCCAAAAAACCTTACAATCTCAATTTTTCTTGGCTTCAGAACTAAGACTAAGCTCTCCGCCATAGGATAAAAGAGAAGAAAACATCTGACTCCATCCACAGCTGTTAGCTAGTTGGAGAACTAGCCGTCTCACAAACTGCTCTGCTGCCGTTCTCTCGCATCGCTAACATTACCATCAACTGCTGCGGATGGAGCAGGAGAGGGAAAGATCAAGTTTAGCTCATCTAATCATCAGATCTCACCTGTTCTCAGTGAAGAGAGATGGCCATGTGCGCGCATCAGCGGACGTGGAGATGTGGAAGAGGAGGAGACTCGTGACATCCTCCTACAAGTAGTACTACAAAGCCTTCCCCTTACATTAGGCCATCCTCCTCCTCCAGCTTCATCCACGAATGGTGCTGCTGGTGACCACCAGCAAGTGGAAAGTTTGTTTGGTGAGGTAACGTTAGAAGTGATTGCACGTCAGTGTGTGTGTGGGGGCAAATATTAATCTATGAATGATAAGTGTGAGAAAACATCATGCCTGATTTTACAACATATATGTTTAAATATGAGTTTTTTTAAGATCTGTTTATTCATTCATTTGTGCATAACTGTTCACAGAGTTGTTTTAAACGTGTTCAACGCTGGGGCATTGCCAGGGTCGAAAGGGACCCTAGGGACCTCTCCCACCACATCCAAAAAAGTTCTCTAAATCACCCTGCTAAAATACCCCCATTTTCAAAAGGTGATCTACTCTAATCTTAATAATAGGATTGTAAATGGTTTAATAGTAAACAAAGGGTTTGTTTTTAAATCTGAAAATATGATTTATTTTGTTGTGTAATTTGTAATCCAACGTGATACAAAGCTACAAACATGTTCATTTGGACAGAGTGATTAACTAAAGTGTAGTTTTGTCAAGATACTGGAATTTCTAAATTCAATACCTTGCAAAATATTCATATTCCTTCATTAATTCGTTTTCTTGTCGGGTTAGTCGCTTTATTAATCCGGGGTCGCCACAGCAGCAAGTTTTTACGCAGCGGATGCCCTTCCAGCCGCAACCCATCTTTGGGAAAATATTCATATTTAATAGGCTATCATTTTTAATATAATAACATTGTATCAAAATAGTACAAAAAATAAATAAATAAAGATCTATATGCTAAAAATAATTTTACTTTAAATGTCTTTAGAGGGGGGCGAGGCAGTGGCGCAGTAGGTAGTGCTGTTGCCTCACAGCAAGAAAGTTGCTGGGTCGCTGGTTCAAACCTCGGCTCAGTTGGTGTTTCTGTGTGGAGTTTGCATGTTCTCCCTGCGTTCGCGTGGGTTTCCTCCGGGTGCTCCGGTTTACCCCACAGTCCAAAGACAGGGAACAGGTGAATTGGGTAGACTAAATTGTCCGTAGTGTATGAGTGTGTGTGTGATTGTGTGTGTGGATGTTTCCCAGAGATGGGTTGCGGCTGGAAGGGCATCCGCTGTGTAAAAACTTGCTGGAAAAGTTGGCGGTTCATTCTGCTGGATTGACATTCGACCCTGGATTAATAAAGGGACTAAGCAGACAAGAAAATGAATGAATGAATGTCTTTAGAGGGAGATTTTTTTGTTATTTTCCTCAAAATAGGCTGATGTGGGCATTGTAGCACTTTAAATGCGTGTAATGCCTGTTTCATTCATACTTGAGCAGAAATTCCATATATGCCTCACAAAAGTAGTAGAACATTACAGGATATGGATAAAGGAATCCAGCTATTGCTGTAGTTGAATAAATGAAAATAAGATCTGAATAAACATAAAAAGGCTTTTACTGATCATCTACATGACTGGTACAATAAAAGGTTCAAATGTGTTCTTCCCACCATAGTTATTTTCATAAGAATAAAGTCGAGTTATAATTCGGTGCTAACTGATATAGGATGTTATAATAGAAGCTATAAAATAATAAGCTAGATGCATTAACTCACTGTGATATAACTTTTACAGAAGATGTGCATGGCTATATCATATCTAGATAAATATGATATCTGTATGATATGTAGAAAGCTGGTACAATTGACGTTTTTCTGACTAATTCACATCTATTTACATAGATATGATGCACATTTGATCGATTAGTTATTTTATTTCACCAAAACTACACACATTTTATTCGGTGAAAACAAATATTAAGCTATAAATATTCAGTTTCGCAAAACAGTTGTATTATTACCCCCCTACACACTGATTTTTAGTTATCTAAAGTTATGTAAATTACATTTGCCATAAAGCGCAATTGCCTGCAGTGTGAATGTAGTCATATAGTTGCAAAATCTCAGTCAACCTGGACTGGTCAGTTTAGGACCCAATGTTAGTCAATAAATTTTCAGAAAATGTCTCTCTTCTCCTCTTTTTACTGGATTTATTGGCATGGGTGTGAGTAAATGTTAACATTTGTTTCATTCTATAAAAGTATGATAAAACTTTATATAAAAAAGTAATTTAAAGTATTTTTTTCTTAAAGACAGGTGTTCAGAGTAACATTTAAATTGTTGTTATTGAAAGTGTGGTTCTCCCTGTGGGTTTCCCCGGGGTGCACTGGTTTCCCCCACAAATGCAAAGGCATGCGCTATAGGTGAATTGGGTAAGCTAAATTGTCCGTAGTGTATGAGTGTGTATGGATGTTTCCCAGTTGCAGTTGCAGCTGAAAGGGCATCCGCTGCGTAAAACATCTGCTGGAAAAGTTGACGGTTCATTCTGCTGTGGCGACCCCTTATTAAAGGTACCAAGCTGAAAAGAAAACTAATGAATGAATGAATGAATGAATTAATTAATTAATTAATTAATTAATGAAAGTGTAGTGGCATGGTGGCTTATTTGCATGGTGGCCTCACAGCAAAAAGGCCGCTAGTTCGAGTCCCGGCTGGGCCAGGTGACAATTCTGTGTGGAATTTGCATGTTCTCCTTGTGTTTGCATGGGTTAATTTCCCAGGTGCTCCAGTTTCCTCCGCAGACGTGGTATAATTATATGTGGTCACACTCTAACAAATGCTGGGTCATTTAAAATATGGACCAACCCAAACATTGGGTTAAAATTGGCCCTATCAATATAATTTAAAAAAATTAACCCAGCAATAGGCATCAAGGTGGCGCAGTATGTAGCATGATTGCCTCACAGCAAAAAGGTCACTGGTTTGAGCCTTGACAGGGTCAATTGTCATTTCTGTGTAAAGCTTGCATGTTCTCCTTGTGTTGGCATGGGCTTCCTCCAGTGCTCCGATTTCCACCACAGTCAAAACACATGCGCTATAGGTGAATTGGGTGAGCTAAATTCTCCGTTGTAAATGAATGTGTATGGATGTTTCCCAGTGAAGGGTTGCTGCTGGAAGGGCATCTGCTGTGTAAAAACATATGCTGGATAAGATGGTGGTTCATTCCGCTGTGGCGACCCCAGATTCATAAAGAGACTAAGCTAAAAAGAAAATGAATAAATTAACCCAGCAGTTGGTTTATTCCATATTACACCCAAAATTGGGTTGTATTAGCCAAGCATTTTGTAGAGTGCACAGTCATGCCACAGACATGGGTATAGGCACAGCAAGAAGGTTGCTGGTTTATGTCCTGACTAGGCCAGTTGTCATTTCTGTGCAGAGTTTGCATGTTCTCCCTGTTTTGTTTCCTCCGGTTGCTCCGGTTTCCCCCACACTAAGACTGCTACTGTTAGTGTCAGCTAAATAAATGACATAAACGTTCTGTCACACTGAAATTAGCATGTGGTTAAGGTCATTTTATCATAAAAAGACGTTGCAACTCGAACCAGCAACCTTCTTGCTTTCAGGCAACAGTGCTAACCACTAATCCATCGTGCCGCCCCTGTTCTGTATTTACATGGTTATAATTTCTTTTAAATTCACAGCTAATTTACTAATCTAATTTGTGCTTCTGCTCACTCAGCTGCCCGTTAAGTCAAATCATTTATATTCAGCTCAAGTAGAAATGAGGTGCTGTCAAGTGTAAAGTTTAGTCTGAACTTTTCCAGAACTAGCAGCTGGTTTGGCAAAAGATTTATGCAAGATTTATTTATTCAAAGCTGTTGCCTTATTTGCCTTGTGAATTCAGTGCCCGTTGCCTGCATGCTGGAAACATAACAGAGCCCCCGATTCTTGTTTAGTTAATGAGAAACCACAAACTTTAATGAAACTATTTCTCACATTCGCAAGATTACTCTCACTGCTCTTGCAACTAAACTCCCCAGTGGTTAAATCTGAAAACTATGCAGTCAAGCATAACTAAAACTCATTTTAAATTCATTAGGGCAACCATGTTGATTAATAAATGACTTCAGATATCTGGTTCATTGCCTTTGTCCTTTTAATGTTTAAGTAATTCAGCATAATCACCATTCAACGTGAACACAGATTAGTCCTGCACATATAAATCTATTTGTCTTCCGAATATATGTATTATTTTGTCTTATCTAAAATATTTCTTCCCTTGACAACTTGTGAATGAAGCCATGCGCTTGTTTCTGTAATTAAAACTCTAGCGCCGCCTTGTGGTTCAATATGATCATTCAGTTCGAATCTTTTAGGCGTGACCCAGAACTGACATCTCAAGCATTTTAAGCCATGAATTGATAATAATAATGTATCATTTTTTAAACATCAAAACATTAGAGGTTTTCTTCTGATATGTCATGATGAATTATTTTATTTACTGATTTTATATAATGCATGCATGCATGGTTTTTGCTTTTTGTTAAGCTCAAGGCATATCCATCATTCACTACTGTGCAATTGCTAACACGCCTTCTTCAGACACCAGAAATTGTATTATTTATCATGCAGACTTTGCTTCTTTCATAATTGATGCTTGCAAAGCTAGCCATGACTAGAGGGAGCTGAACTGAATGTGTGCATATATGGGTGTGGGATGTAAGTACATGGATGCATGTATTATATATATTATATACAGTATTTTACAATTTTCTATTTCTACTTTGTTGTTTGTACAACGTTAGATACCTTTCAACTTTTAGAACTTCCTTAATTCTTTGTGGCATTTAATTGCAAGATGTTGGAACACGAGAGCATCACACAGTGGCTGCAGATTTGTTGGTTGTGATTTCCCATTCCAGCACATCCCAAAGGTGATCTATTGAACTCAAATCTGGTGACTGTGGAGAAGATTTGAGTTTAGTGAACTCACTATCATTTTTAGTTTGAGGTGATTTGAGCCTTGTGAAACATTATTTGTATTTTCTCATTGTTTTGTATTTCAATTAACATACTTAAAAAGCAATTCTATTCAAAGATTCAAATATATTATGTTCAATATATAAATAATTAACGTATAAATCGTAAAATATTCAAATATATTACTACTTAATTAAATCAATTTATTTTTTCTTTTTTTCCTTTTAATTATAATAATAATCATTCACAAATTTATCAGTTATAAAATAATATGTAATTAATATACAGTTATGTAATAACAACGACAACAATAATAATATAATCCTAAATGACATTAATTAAATTATTTCAATACATTAGATGCACAACAAGGCAGGATGCACAAGACAGACATACTCAAGGGGCTCTTGATGATGCTGGGAGGGGCACTTTTGTGTACCCTGTGCTGCGTTGGTGGTGGTGCCACTGCTACTCTCTCTCTCTACCAATTGCTACTCTCTCTCCAAATGTACAATTTATGTCAAATGAATTTTAAAATATCATATATTATTTTGATAGAGCATAATAGGCACTAATATATGATTATGAATTCAGCTATGAGGGAGACGTTGCTTTCTGTAAATACATTACTATAGTAATGTGAGAAAAAATCCATCTATCCAAAATCATTACTGTAAAAGGCCATGCAAGTAAATGCTATCACCGTCTTTGATGTGGTCCATCTTATAAAATGAATATAAATCAATGGGAGCTGTGCAGGAACGGGCTGCACCACTGCTGGAAAAAAGGGGGGGAGACACAATTAGTCACCTTGTACGCTCGACACCGCTGACAAGCTCCTGTACATTAGACCGGGCGCGAGACAGCCTTTCACTCGGCGCTGCGCGTTAAGGGACAACAGCAGCCAATCTGACTGAACCCACGCCCGCTCCTCATCCCTGAAGCCGCACTCTTTCCCTCAGAGCGTCGATCTGCTGACTCAGTGCCTTATCAGAACCAACCGGTTCCTCGCCACCGAATAAAGCTGAGACGCACCAGTCACCGACACAACTCCAGCCATGGCCAAAACTGCGATCGGTAAGACAAACCTTCCTTCATCTTGTTCGCCGGTTCGTGTCTCTTTGATGCATGATGCTGAGAGATTCACCATTATGATGCTGGAGAAAACGCGTTAGATATATATATAAAAAATGATTTGGGTTATTATAAATCTGATGTCTCCATACACCCCATGCTGTTTTATTTTCAAATATGGCTGTGCGCCCAAGCTGCCTACTCACTTTTGCATAGAAAAGGGGGACTTCATGATTGTTAAAAGGTGTTTTTAAAATAATCTCACTTATGAAATGTACTTCAAATGTTTTAAAAGCCATAAATTGATTTTCTTATGGTGACAGTGCACCTGCCGGCTCCAGCATCTCCAGCATAATGCAGAAGGACCCCACCCAAGATCCTGCTCTGTGTTTCAGCCTTCAGAAAATCTATTAAAGCCTGTCAATTTCTGGCTTAGAGCAGTTCAGAGTGAAAGTAGTGATATGTTTTATTCATTTTTAGAAAATAAGCTAGGTGTGGCTGGTTTATTTATTTCAAAACAAAGCCGGAATTAAATACGACATGGTCGTTCATAAATCAGCCTTTCTGAAATTGCTTCAATCCTTACAAAATTCCTTAATTATTGACACAATTGATTGAATTTGCGTTTTCTGATGAGCTGGTGACTTTATCAAAGCATTTACCATTTTTATGTTCTCCCACCTTCATGTATTCATAGAAGATAAAATCTGACAATGTGTCATCATCAAAATAAAAAAATCAACTCATCCCCACTCATCACACAAATTTGTAAGATGTAATTGGGCATCCTTTCATACACACCATGTCCGAGACTGCAGCATCAGATGATTGATGTTTAAATGGAAGTGTGTCAGGGCTGAAGTCGTCTCGCCGGTAAGCATGTCTCAGTGCTGTTATCATTCTGGATTATGTTGTAGGCAGCCAAACTGGGGCATACCATAGACAAGGTGCGTGTCGGCTGTATCACATCAAGGCGAGACGCTTCAGGGCAGGGCACTCGTGGACTGTGGCTGAACGCCTCTATTCGAGCTGTCATGTTGCTTGAAATGTTCAATGACAACTTGGAAAGACATCTGTTTCGTAGTGTAATACCAGTTGCGTGCACTTAAGCCTGCTGTGAAATGCAATTACATGGGGCCGTGTCTCAAGGATATTCAGAACACACAAGGAATATCCTGACAAACACCAGTGGGAATACTTCCGATAATGAGAAAGAACATGACAGTCAATACAATCAATACTCTTGGAATATTTATAGGGCTTAAAAGAATCCGCAGATAGACCTTCGTGCATTTGCCAGCCTCTAAATTAAATAAAGAAAAAAATGAAGTCTTAATCGACAAATAATCAGTTGTCTCTGTGATTAGGGATTTGTATTAATGATTGAATAACTCTCCACAAACTCGTTTTCACCTGTCAAAATTGTGTATCATAACTTGTATGTATATAATAGCTTCTCACATTATCCCCACAAGTGTTTAGCATCTAAAATTACTGGATATGCAAAGGCAGAATGACTAATCCAATCAAGCCCCATTAATCAATGAACTAACAGGAAGTTTAAATATACATATTCAGCAGTGCTGCTCAGCACCAGGGTGGGGCCATTGCTTTTGAAGATAAAT